TCCATAATAAATTGTAATTAATTAAGATTAATTAATAATAATTAATCATATTATAATTAATTAAAATTAATTCTAATTAAAATTAATTCTAATTAATTAAATTAATTATAATAATTTAAATAGAATTAAATATAATTAATTTAAAAAATAATAAATTTAATTAATTGTAATTAATTAATATAATTATAAAATAAACCCCCCCCCCTTCTTCCTCTCGGGTTCGGCCAGGACAGACCGAAGAAGCACGCGAAGGGTAGAAAGTTACCTTCACTGTCGGCGAGCTCTTGATCTCGGCTCCGATCAAAATGCCGTAACTTCTGATCCTTTAGGAGGGAAAGTCGTCGAAGGTAGCGAAATCCAACAGCCAGGTAAGAGCCGAAGAAGCGGCGGGAGGTAGAAAGTTATCTTCACGGTAGCGAGCTCCCGATTGTTGCTTCCGATCGATGGTCGTAACCTCCGATCCAACTGGAATGGAAAGTCGTCGAGCGGGTGAAGTCGAGCAACAGCAAAGAGGCCGGAGAAGCGCACGACCGAGAGAAAGTTATCTTCACAGCGAGCGGCTCCTGTTGTTGCCTTCGATCAAACGTCGCAACTTCCGATCTCTCAGGAACGGAAAGTCGCTGGAGGGGCGAAGTCGAACAGCGTTGAAGGGTGCCGAAGAAGCGCGTGAAAGGGAGAAAGTTGCGATCATAGCGAGCTCCCGTCATACTTCCTTTCAAAATGTCATAACTTCCGATCCCGGCAGGGGCGGCGTCAAACAGAGAAGGGAGAGGGAGAATCGGGAGAGAGAGCGAGAGCGAGAGACAAGAGCGGGGGTGAGGCGAATCCCTTCCTTGGGCTCTTTTTACGACTGCCAGAGAGATCGTGAGAGATGTGATGTCGTTGTGCGAGCCCTATACGGAGATCGTGGGAAAATAAGCGAGGTCGTGCTGAATTCGGCGCCGGACAGGTACGTGGATTTTAATTTTTTTTTTTTTCTCTTTTGTTTTATACAGCAGGTCAACATCCCCCTTCTATGCTACTATCCAAATTCTTGAAATACCCATAAACAAAGAAGCAAGGTATTCCTAGGGAGCTCTCTCTAGAAAAAGGCCCGACAAAAGTAGCAACTGATGAAGGATTTTTTTTTTCAAAGAGACTTAAACTTATATCATGTGCAAGTTCTGCTACTAAAGGCCTACTACAATCTTGTCATCTTTAACAACACCCATTGTCAACAAGCCTCTCTATCGATGACGATTTCACCATCCTCTTTCTTGACACGATGGGGTTACAAGACAAGGCCATGAGTTTACAAAACCCATAAACAAATATTTAGCGTAGTTGACAGGCCAGCTTCCACCTCGATATCCCTATGAAAACTTGATGCCATAATTCTACCAAAAAATTAATACAAGACTCGAAACACACAAACATAACTACATAAGTGACTTTATCCCACATTACAGTAACAACAACAACATTAAGGCTTTATCCCACTACGTGGGGTCGACTACATGAGTCTTTTTACTCTATTGTGTTCTATTAAGAGTTGAATTCTCGTTTAAATCTAATAAAAAAGGTCATTTCTAATCATTTCTAACCAAGCCTTTTTAAGTCTACCTTTATCTTCATAGCATAGACCAAATCTAATACATCTACTCTCCAAACAAGTATTCCCTCTAAACACGTGAGCATGTAAATTGCCTAGGATCTCAGATCTTGAAAGGTAAGAAATTGATGTCAACATGGAAGTTGTAGATGGCCAGATTAATTATCCTATGATATTAACATTGTATGATTTCCACAAGAAATAAGATTTTTGACATACCAAGGGAAACATATTTTATTCACAAAATTTAGTTCTCACGCATTTCAAAATCTCATCATCATCTCAAGTGGGAGGAAAATTTTTAACGGTCCCTCATACTGTAACCCAGGCTATAAAGCTGCCACTTTTGCCTATGCGCACATGCGCACCATTGCAGAGGCATTGGCACAATTCATTTCGCAAAACGAGCAAACGCTCAACATTTTCATCAAGGGCAATGTGTTTTGATATGGACCTTGCACGATAGTGCATCCTTTGTTCTCAATTTTTGTCGAATTCAATAGAATCATTTGTGGGAGTCCTTTGTTGATTATTTTGATACAACATACGCATCAATGCAGTCTTTTTTATGAAATGAGTGGTGGTTTGATGATTTTAAATTTGTGTGATTTATTTTAAACCAAAATTGGGCAATATTGCATTTATCGACTGTCGTTTTCTTCGTGTTCGATCAAATTGATCACGTGATATGGAGATCAACAATTTTTTCATTTAATGATAAGCTAGTATTATAGTTTACATCATCTTGTTTACTATAAAACCCCAATTAGATCAATGATATAATATTGATATGAATCTTAGGTTGTAGAAAGGTCATTGATATCTAAGTTGGCAGAAACAAGAATTCTAAGATGAATACGCAATGAAGTTAAAAAAAAAAAATTGATTTAAGAATGATTACGTCAAAGCAAATGTCAGAGTGCCATCTATTGAAGATAAGGAAATTGAAAATAGACTTTTGGTGGTTAGAATATGTAAAATAAGAGGCGAAAAATACATATCTTAGTGTCAAAAATAGAAATGAAAATGGGTAGACCTACAGTTGCATTATAAAATTTGTTTTCAATGAATAAGTTTAAGGCCTCGGACAACACAAAGCCAAAACTAATGGAAAATGAGTATTGATAACACGGACTCCAAATAGTTCAAATAAGACTAATAATGATGATGATGACAAATAGAAAACTTCTAATATATAAGGACAAGGATTATCATAGGTTAATTTAAACAAAATAATCATCTGTTAAGGTGATAACTTGTTCAGTAAAAATAGACACTTATCACACAAAAAGATTATTAAGAAAACAAAGTTTGCATAAAAAATAGTAATTGTAGCTTCAAAAAATAAACCAGGCAAGGCTGCAACTTGAAGCAAAAGAAGTACACCAATTAAACAACAAAATATAAAATATTAGCACAACGAGCAAGAATAGTTGTTCAGCAACAAAATAAACTTTTTCCACAAAAAGATTATTAAGAAAACGAAGTTTTCATAGAAAATAGTAATTGTAGTTCCAAAAAATGAACTATGTAAGGATGCAACTGGAGGCAAAAGAAGTACAACAATTAAACACAAAATAAATATTAACACGAGGAGCAGCAATAGATAACGTACACACACTCTGAAGACCAGGAACCATTGCAAAGAGCTGATAGTAAATGAAGAAGTTCAATTATGTGATATGGGTATTCAGTTTCCAACATATAGAGCAAAGATCGAATTGGACCATCAACAAAACTATCTCTGTCCCAGAATTGAATAGAAAGGGATTCCTGGATCAACAAATTATAATATTTAGAGAAACAAAGATAAAGTTATATCCATCATGTAAGCTGCTTGTCCAGCACAAAAGGTGGTAATCTTCAAACCTCCCCCTTGAAAATTTCACGAAGTATTTCCAAAATCAACCTCAGTATGTTTTCTTCTGGCTGGAGAAATAGAGTTGGACTAGTTAGAAAGCTGTTGCGGAATTCAAATGCATTGAAATATTGAATAGAAAAGAATTAAAGGGCTCGTTAGGATCACCGAGAACTTATCTGGCTGGTAAAAACAACCACAAAGGGGTAGATAAAAGGTTAATGTGTATGAAAATGCTCATGTTATTTGATATGAAGCAAGAAGAAGGCTTTACCATTTCATGGATCAAAGAACAGTTACCTGATGATTAAGTTCATAGGAAGCTATAAATGCAGAGACGAATGTTCTCAAAATGTTCAAAAAACCAGAAACTGGACCCTGCCAAAACATAAATATAAAATCTTCTCATGAGGCATCCCTTGAGTAATCATAAAGTTCTTCAACTCAATGGATAAAGATTAGCATAGCATGAAAAATTCAAATAATGACAACAACTAAAATATTAACAAGACATAAGATAATTAAAAATTGGAAATATGAGCACAAATGCATGTGCCAGAATATATGAGTATATATGCCTCTTCTTAAACAAAGGAAATGCAAAAATGGCAATAAATTAAGAAAGACAGAAAATACTAAATCATCTGAATCCATAAGTTTAGTCACTCTTTCAGTTGAAATGTGGCTACAAGATTAGTAGAAAAAATATATAAACTACCAATTTTAAGACTTAAACAAACCAAATCTCGGCATCCAAAAAGAGCAAGTGAATTACAAGACACCATACTAAGACCATAACTCTTTGGCAGCATAGATCATATTCACGGAAAAATAAATGAAAAGTGATAACTGTAAAACTCGAACATAGACATTAAAGACATAAAGATTTGTAATTAATGTGCCAAGAGAATTTGAAATTAAAATGTGAAGCATTAATAGATGCCATAAGAATTAATTTCAAGAATATTATAATCCAGCAACTTACATCTGAATCCCTCAAACAATCACTACGAAGAACTTCGAGCAAATAGTTGCATGTTCCAACCTCAAAGGCTTGACGGGCATAATCAGCATGGTCAATTTCCTATATAGGTAAAACGAGCTTTAAAGATCTAATGCATAAAGAGGCTTACCAATACAGAAAAATGATTATAAACAAAACAACTGACCATGAGAATGCTTTCATTTTTTAAATCGGGAAGTGACGATAGCAAACAGATGAAAACTGCCCACGCAAGAAACAAAGGCCCAGCTTCAAACGTTCCCAACCCAGAAAAGGTGGAAACGAGAAAATCCATTTCCTGAACATCTTGCATGGAAAAGATAAAACCACCTTCACTGATAACAACATGTGAGGGAAAAAAAAAATTAACAAACAAATTACAAATTTTGTAGGCAATTACCAAAAAGTTCACCACGAGAGCAGTACACAACACAAAAATATAGTTGATACTGACCTGATAGACACTTCATCATGAACCATGCGAAGAAGATTTTCTAGATCTAAAGTTTCAATAAGAATGAAAAGCAGCTGAGCTTTAGCATGAGAAAATGAAGCTCTCGATTCGACTGAAACAGCCAAGTTTTCAATGTTATAGGCACCTCCTAGTATATCCTGCAATTTAACAGAATTATGTGGTTTAAGAAATAACGTAACAAAACAACATGGTATGTAGGATAATACAAAAGACTGCAAAAAAAAAACCATCATAGGCTGACCTTGAATAACGAGCATAAGCTCATCCATTGCACAGCATTGCAGACACAAAAATTATCATAGTAAGCCAGGAATAAAAAATCCAAAACCAGGTTATCTTCAATAATAGTTTCATCCACCCAAAGTCCAACCAATTCAACATCCTGAAGCTAAGCAACAACGGAAGGAAAATTATTAATAAAAAACAAGAAAAGGTGACAACATTAAGCATGTAACCAATATAAGACGTCACCATGATTTATATAAAACCCAAATTTGCCCAGTTATACGCCAAATTTGGCTCAATTTAAAAATACTCCAAAAGTCCAACTTTCATAAAAATCATCAAATTTAATGACATTATGTTATACACGTCTAATGAAAAAAATCGACATATAAAACTATATGTCAAATTACGAAGGATTGGAAGTTAGGAAATTAAACCCCATTTGCATTTTTTTCCAAAGTTCAAAAATCTATTTACAGTTCATAAATGCAAAGCACTGTAACAAAGGATAAAATTGTTAACAGGGAGCTGACATGCATTCAGTTGGAGGACGGGAAATTAAATAAATAACTTTGCCTAAGCCTATTTCCTTCCTTTCCTTCAAAAACAGAGAGCAAATTTCCTGTTGAAGCTCTCAGTTTCCACCTGGAGCAGCAGATGGCTGGGGCGGATTGGGAGCTGGCTAGAGGTGAGGATTGAGTGGGAGGTGGAATCGAGGTGGTTGGGATCCTGGTGTAGCCCTTGGGAACGGTTTGTTGTACAAGTTTAGGCTTAGGGTTGGCCAAGGGCTTGGACTGAGGACTTCTTGATGGCTGTTTGAAGGCTATTTGAGGGCTATTTGAGGGCTGTTTGGAGATGTAGGATGCTGAAATATTGGGTATAGGAAAAAGCGTGGGAAGAAATCAGGTAGAGGAGAACAAAAACAAGAAGAGGAGAATAATAGTAAGAGAAGTAGAACAGGAGAAGTTAGGGGAAAACAGGACAGAATAAATAGAACGGGAGATGAGAAAGAAGGAAATAGAGTTAGAGTAAGAGAAGGAGGTAAGCATGCCTATCAGCAAATTCTGTACTCACTTGTAATTACTTTTGTTCAACAGTAATTGGTTTGTATTCAAGATATTCGTAGTGCGAGGGAAATTCATACCTATAGTCATGTATAAGACATCAAACTTGGAAGATATTTTAGTTAGGAATTGATTTAATTGTATAGGACGGTGAATCATCAATTAATGATTTGGGTTGGTTTAGGAATCCTATACGCGCAGGCAGATGCGAGATGTCCGACTTGGTTAGTCCAAGCGTCCACAAGGTAAGATATGCATTTTTTTAATACAATATGCAAGTCTAGTTGTGCATGCATAAAAATTAGTTATGTGACATTTGTCTTTGCACTCCTATATGTTTTAATTAGCCTAAAATTGTAATTTAAACGGTCATTCTATGTGTAATTTCTTTGTGATATGTGATTATATTATATTATGATGTCACGCATAATTATGTAATGATGTGATATTTTATTCATACATATCTGTCTTTATATTATAAAAGCGGTGGGTGGTCAAATAGACTTGAGAAAATGTCATGATGGATAAGCAGGTACGAGCAATGCAACCCTGACAAGAAGTACAACCAAGTGGAAACAATGTGACCTCAGCATGATGAAGCCTACATGCTATGATAGGAGACCGACGGCTATAGAGGCAGTACGACCTCAAGAGCCTATGGGTTATTAAACTAGACCTAAACATCTAGATATGAAACCTGAGCCTTAAAAAGAAAGTTAAGAAATGAACTTATTATTATTATTATTATTATATATATATATACACACGTACGTGTGTGCTAATATATTGCAATATATAATTTGCATATTATAGGCAATTGCAATAGGCCTAAAAGGATGAGATTAATAATATGTGATATGATTGGATGTTTGTTTCAAGTGAGCATAATTCTTACATGTAGCTTTATGTATCACAAAATCTTATATATTCTATATTGGGATTGCAAGAAGTCACTTTCGTCACTTGGAAGTCAAGGGATATGAAGGGAACGATGAGCTCATCGATTCGTTCTCATGAGGAAGATGAGGAGCTTGGGTAAATTCCATCGTTTTGAGTTGTAGGGCTTCATCACTATAAATTCGAAACATAGGAAGATGAGAAAGGGCAATGAAAGTGAGAACAAGAGTGAGGTAAAACCAGGCAAGAGGGCTCGAGTGGGGCATACACACAAACAAACCTGCACGCTTAAGGGAATGATAGGAAGAGTGAGCTGTGTGAACTTGTGCCATGCGTCTTGTGGCGACATGTAGAGAGAGTGATGCGGACATCGACACGAAGATTTTGCGCATCTATCACAGGAGGCGTCGTAAATCAACGGCTATAATTTAAATTGTCATTTAAGAGTTATTTTATGAATTTTAGCTTTTATTTTATGTTATTTTTTGTTTTACCACTAGGTTAGTTTATTTGAGTGTTGTGGCCAAAGGGGCAATTTTATAATTTTTGTTTTCTTTCTCATGTTGTGGCCTATATATAGGGCCTTAAGCTATTGTAATAGGGGATGCTTGATTGATATTAAAAATTTTGCGTTCCACACTTTTGTTCTTTGGAGAGAACGTAGTGAGATTTCTATGAGAGGAATTGAAGTCTTCACCAGCCGCAGGATGGGTCCGGTCTCTTGATTTGAAGTCCCTTGGAGAAGGGCAACGGATCACCCGTCAGTCTTCGGAAGAGTCCGAGGCTCGCGGTTCTTATTTTCTATCTTTCATTTTATCTTTGTTTTTGTTTTGTTTCTTTTCTTGCTCCCCGTAGTCGTTGGCCAAACCTCCATACCAAGTTCCACGAATTTTCCCCATAGCCGCCGGCCACCTTCCCCCATTAGCTCCTCCACCGCCGGCTACTCTTGTTTGTCTCCATGAATGAGGAGTCAATGTCAAATTAATGCTTGTCTAAAGAGTCCAAATAATTTAGGAAATTATTTTCATCATTTCAAATTTTGAATTTCAAATAGTTTCCTAAATTAGAAAGCTATTTTAGGAAAGTATCGAATCTCATTTATGATGTAATTCAAACTTAATTTGGGTGATTTAATTTTGGGCGGTTTTCAAATTTTCAAATTCCACTAATTTGAAATTTGAATTCTTTCCTAATTTATCATTCTATTTTTGGAAAGTTTCTAAATTGACACTATTTTGAATTCAAATTTAAATAGAGTCAATTAAATACTTTCCTAAGTTCTAATCCAATTTAGGCAAGCTTGTACACATGGCACCAAATCCCAATCCCCATGATATTACCACCGGCCCCCTCTCCAATTAGCCCAGTAACTTCCACTTAATTGTTTCCTAATTCTAAGTCCCTCCTTTGGGGAAAAAAAATATACAATTCCTGTAATTCTTACCTGGCCAAAACCTGCATTCATATCTTGGCTCTTTATTATTTCCTAATACAAGAGGATGGCTTTAGGAAACATGAACTCACCCCCTCTCAATCCCGCCGACTCTCTCTCTCTGTCACGGCTCCTCTTTCCTGCTTGCATTAGTTAACTTCTCTCTTCCAAAATCTGTAAGGAAGTTGGCTCTCAATTTTCTCTTCACAGCCAAGGCTAGACCCCTCTTCAAGTTCTCTACATCTCAGCCCACCAAAATCTGAGAACTCCTCTCAGATTTTTCTTAATAAAATCTGAAATTGTTTTCAGATTATAGGAGAGGAGATTTGGGAACTTACAACCTCTCTCCTACCAAGAGAAAATCTGAGATTCTTCTCAGGTGTTGGGCAAAGAAATCAAAATTTCCTTCAGATTTCGGAGAGGAGATCCTCTCCCTAGCAAGGCCTCCTACCCGTTCTACATCAGAGAGTGAGCAAACATGGGAGGCTCAACGATTCATTTAGATAAGGTAACATTCTTTTATAATATTTTAGATATTGTAAATAATAATAAGTTAGAATAAGGATTTATTACGTAATAATAATTTAGATTAAATTATGATTTTAAATTAGAATGATTAGCAAAAAATATATATTATATATAGAGAGAGTGTGTGTAAATAGAATATAAATTAATATGAGATTTCATAAATTTAAAAAATTAAATTATTTAAATAGAAAAAAAGGATTAAAGATAATTATCTATTTATAGAAAAAAGAGAGTAAATTTAATAAGAAAGTTGAAAACAATAATAATTTAACTTAAGAGAAATATCATTAAATTCTATAAAAAAAATCATAATAATATAGAAATTTTATTTTAGAATATTGTAATAATTAAATTATGATTTTTCATCCATTTTTAAATGATAGAGCTAGGAGAATAAGTTTTATCATTAATTAAATTCTTTTAAAAATAAATTAAATATAAGAGATATTTAAGTATATTTAATAGCTAATTAAAGAGACATATGATTAGAAACATAAATTAAAATAACCGTATGGAATTATGCATTATTATAGGTGTTATATTATTGAAGTAAGAGCAAGGACAAAAGGGTAAAAGCTATTTAAATCAAGGTGAGTATCATGCTCCTATTCCTAAAAGTAACAACATTGCTTTTTATAATTTGATTGCAATTGTTAGTTAATAATTATTGCAAAATTACAGTATTTTATTTTCTTCAACGAATGATCATATAAAATTTTTTTATAGCCTGCATGATTAAGAATAGGTACTATAGAAAATTATTGAATGATTTATGAATGAAATGATTAGAAAGAAATGCTTAGATGTGCATATTGCTTGATGGAGTACACTCTCATATGGTACTAATAGGGAACGCAATTTACCCGTACACCTAAATGGAAAAGGTTTTGCAAAATATTATGGAAAAGGAAATGAAGAAAGAAGCACCTTCATTGATACTATTTTAGACGATGTCTCCGTGATGGTTATATTATTTATAAAAATGATAAAGAAATTACAAATGTGTCTCGTATAGAAACTTATGGTGACCTTAATCACTTCAAAAAATTGTGAGAAACTCTAGAACATATCTTAAGACATCTCACTATCTATATCTAGTCATTTCCCTAATTTTATTCCAGTCTAAATACTACCACTAAAAGTCTAAATCCTAACTAGTCAAATCGGCCATACTAGGGTATTTCTGGGACCTGACACTTGTAATCCTAAAAAAATAGTTATAAAAGCTTCCAAATCGCATGTAGACCTCATCTCTAATTTGCAAGTGACCTGAAGGTTTTTAGATCAATATTTTGGGAGATCTAGACAATTGAAGTCAGCCTAATGTTGTCTGAAATTTTTGGCACAAAACCTATGTCAACCCATATTACACTCCTAACTTGCAATGACCAGCAAATTACCTCCACCAACATATTTCTCACCTACATAAGACTTGTGAAAGGTTACAATCCAATTTAACTATCACCAAGTGATCTTTCCAATAGACCAAATCACCATCACAACCACAATTTAATATAATAGCTCTTATTTATACAAAATATTTCTTGATCAAAAAACACCAAAGCAGTCATAAATGACAAATTGAAATAAGTGAGCAAGCACACAATCAATGATAGGACAACAAGATCTTCTCATTAGTATGTTTTTGCATAAAGAGGTAACTTTTTCCAGTAAATAATTTTTAGCTGGATCGTAGGATTTAAAGTAAAAAAGAAAGAAAAAGGGTAAAAATTCTGAGAAGATTGCCTGAATTTCATTTTCCTTTTCTTTTTTTTCTCCTTCTTTAAGTAAAACCAAGACTACATAAAAACAATAATGCCAACAAAAATACAATAAGAAATGCTATAAGACAAATAATTCCCTTGCATCCGCAATAAACCAATGCAATTTAAATTCCAACATGACAAATATGAAATGCCAAAATGAAAGGAAAAAATGGAAAAGTTTTTCATTAGGAATACAGCAACTGTGGAGTCTTGGGCATAGCATACCAAACAGTAATGAGAACAGTTAGAATTATTTCTATTTAAACATAAGAAGATAAAGATCCATGGTTAATGAACAAACATAGAACTTACAAATTTTTCAAAAGGTCCAGATGAAAGCAGATCCTTAAGGACTGATAACATCTTTATTTCCAACCCATCATGAATCAACTGCAGAGCCTGCCCTTTAATTGCACCGCTTGACTGAGACATGCTGCTCACGCTAACTAAAAAACAGTTGCATTAGAAAGATAAAGCTGCAATTAAGAGTGGGTTACCCTAGTTGATTCCACAGGCGAACTAGGAAAACAATAACAGACAGATAAAGAAACAACTCAAGTGAAACTAGCAGGAGAAACTGAAAGAAGATCTTACCTTTTAAGTTGATACATATAAAGATAAAAGGGTCATATCTATTAAATAAAATTACATAGAAGACTTTTCTTATTTCCTTATTAGGGATAGTTTAGCAATTAGGAGCTTAAGAGTTATTAGGTGTTTTCCGATAAATATCCTCTTGTCATTGTTAGGGAGAGGAGCTTTTCTTAAATTAGATTCAGGGTTTTCCAGGTTTGGAAGGATTTCCCTACCCTTGGGATGGATTTCCGCTTATGTGAGCTAGTGAGGAAAGGAAACCACAGTGGAATCTAAGATCTCACCAAAATTGGTTTGCCATAAGCCCAAGCCCCTTTTCCTTGAAACTGAGGCAAGCTCAAGGCCTCCAAGGTCCAGGGACAGTCCAGAATTTCCAGAGATCTGTTATTTACCGGTTCCCAAGCCTTCAAGCATGTAGTTCTGGACTCCCAAACCATTCAGAATAAATATTCGTGGCTCTCCTAGAATCCCAGCTTATTGGAGACAGGTTCCTGATATTAAGGATTCATCCCAGTCAACTCCCAGCAGCGACCAATAAGATGAATTTGGCATCCTTATGCTTAGATAGACTCACATCCACTAAATTGTTGAGGTTTCATTGACAAACTCCAGTCTAATGATTCAAAAACATCACCAAACAAGGCTCGCTGTTTCCCTATTTGTATTCTATCATTATATCAAATCTTACTTCTGATAACTTAATTGACAAATTCTGTTTCGTACATAATTGCAGGAGGTGACAGTATTCTATCTAGAAAACCTCCTTCCATAAACAGAATTAAGCAAGGGGAAACAGTGGAGACAAGAGGCCAGCAAATTGTTGACTTAAAAAATACCTGAAACCTGCATTGTTCACTTAGGAAACCACCCTTCATCAGACTTCTGTTTTTCATTCAGTTTGCCCATAATTCTTGAAGCGTTATCTACCCACTTGGGTTTAGAAAACTGTTGGAAGGCTGGGAAAATTTCAGCCGCATATTAAATCTAAATTTGCATTTCCAGAATGTGTTAGCTGCCCTACCCTTAAGCTTGCAAAACCACCCCTATAGGTTGAGAAGTTGGTTGGAGATGAAGAATGAAGGGAACAACCAGCCATAACTGTGATCAGTAAATATAACTTGAAAAAAAACTGCGATTTGGGTGTGAGGTTCTTGAAGATGTTCTGGATTGGATCCATTTGTATAGACTTGTTATCTTACTAAGTACTGTAATAATACTAACCTCGATTATTGTTTCAATTATATACCTTCCCGTGTCTTTTAACGGTGACAGAAGTACTACAATAATTATGAAATGATAAATGTTGCATACGCATAATAGAGGAGCTGTAATACACAAAATTTCAGGTAAAGGTGCAAATTTTGTTTCCTATCTCGAAATAGTAAATTTCACAAATAAGTTCAAAAAATTATCACATTAATTATCAATTAAATAAATTTTATATTAGTTATTATTGTTGAGTTTATTCTTTGCAATTAATTAAAAATGCTGAACTAAAATTATGTTAATTATTATACTAATTATATGATGAATAGCTGCTCTAAGGACTTAGTGAATTAAGCCCACTAGTTCAGCCCATTAATTCAGTATTTATATTAGCCAATTAAGCTGCTGTAGCACAGCACTGAGTGCAATAACTAATATAACAATCCTATACTATCCATTAGTGTAGGTATGCAACCATTGATGGGAAATCTGATGGCTGGAAAGCATGTGAGCTGTAATATAAAAGCATTATCGTGACTGTCTTCCCCATTTCATTTCCTGAGCAGAAATTTCTATTTTCTGCTTGCGTGGATCCTGTGGAGCGAATGCGAGAGTAGGTTGGGGGCCGGGAATTCGGCTGCTGTAGGAGGGAATATTTGGAGTAAATTGCAGAGAAGCAATAAGGAGAGGAATAAAGGTAAGCAATTTTAGTATTAACTCATGTTGTTTTGTGAACTTTTAAATATTGATAGGGCTGCTAAGAGAACTTATACCACAATTGTATTGTTAGGATAATTTTATTGGGTATATGAAGAAAAGAGAATCTGGTTGCGAGGTAAGTTGCTAAAAGGGATGAAATTATTGTATTAAATTTTTGGAAAAAAAAATTATAGAAATTATATGAAGAGAGGAGAGGTTGATTGATGCAGACATCGGCGCGAAGATTTGGCGCATCTATCACAGGAGGCGTCGTAAATCGACGGCTATAATTAAAATTGTCATTTATGAGTTATTTTCTGAATATTAGCTCTTATTTTATGTTATTTCCTGTTTTACCCCTAGGTTAGTTTATGTGAGTGTTGTGGCCGAAGGGGCAATTTTATAATTTTGATTTTTTCTTATGTTGTGGCCTATATATAGGGTCTTAAGCTATTGTAATGAGGAAGAATAATTGATATTACAAAATTTGTGTTCCACACTTGTGTTCTTTTGAGAGAACGTTACTGAGATTCCTATGGCAAGGAATCGGAGTTTCACCAGCCGCAGGATGAGTCCGGGCTCGTGATTTGAAGTCCCTTGGAGAATGGCAAAGCATCACCCGTCAGTCTTCGGAAGAGTCCAAGACTCGCAGTTATTACCTTCTATCTTTTGTTTTTATTTTGTTCCTTCTTATTTCCTCTTCCCCTTCCCCATTGCCAACCTTATTTTCCCCGTCCACCACAAACCGCCGGCTCCCTAATCCGATTCCCCCCCCACCTTTTCCTCCTCCACTCCCACGGCATACTCCCCAAACCCGAACCCATGCCGTCGGCTCCACCTCATTAGCCGCCGGCCGAACCTTCCTCCCCACCCCCTTTTGGATTTCCTAATTTGGTTGGGTTAATTTAGGGATTAATTTGAATTTGAAATTATTCAAATTCAAATTTCAAATTCTTTCCTAATTTAGTTCATCTATTTTTGGAAAGTGCTTAATTGAAATCAATTTGAAATTTAAATTCAAAATCTGATTTATTGTCTCACTTTGCCAATTAATGCTCCTAATTAACTCCCTCATTAACTCAAAATTTTCCCTCCACAAATCCCTCATTTCAAATTCAAAACATTTTGAATTTTGAAACATAACTGCAGTCCATCCTTTTGGAAACAATTTCAATTCCTGTAACAGTTTTATTCCTCACGTCCATAGCCTCTAATTAATTTCCAAATTTCTGGAATTACATTAGGAAATCTTTCCTAACAGCCAAAGTAATTCCTTGGAAATATTTTCAAAACCTGAGATTCTCCTGGCCGAAACTCTCACCCATGCATCCCCCTCATTAAACCCTTCCAAAACTCATTATTCTTAATTGGAAATCCCGTTCATCCCTGTTCTCACCTGCTGGCCGAAATTTCCAAGTCCCATGCACTAGCTGTTCCCCATTAAATCCTTCCCAAAACTCCTTCCCAAATTAAGCCCTCTATCTTCTGCCACTGCAGACAAGGAATTCCAGCCACCGTCCTTGCTTCCCCACCCTACAGAAGCCTCAAACTGCTGCTGCCCTGGAAATTCCAGCAAGAATATCTTGCTGTCCAGCACGTTGAAAGACCACGAACTGCTGTACCTGCTGCCAAAGCTGCTGTCCAGATATTCCCGCAGCAGTTTGTTGCTGTCCAGCCCCTCTGGGAGTGACCGTGGCTGCCCGGAACTGTCCGGAATCGCTATCCCAGGATGGCTACTTGCTGTCCAGAATTTCCCAAGTGTCAAAAGCTGTTGTTTAAACTTCACGAGTTGCTCTTCAAGACCCATAGGACTGAAAACCTCCTACCCGTTCTACATCATTGATTGTGTAGGTACTTTACAAGAGAAAAAGGCTACGAGGTGCTCAAGTTGAGAAGCAACTTGGCAAGGGGTAAGTAATGCAATTTAATTTAATCAAATAAATGTGATCATTTTTCGACCTGTATAGCTGCATGTCATCAAAACTGAAAGGTAAAAAAACAATAAAGTAACTTTTATTTGTTAATGCGTTTACAGTCAAACTGATGGGGACATCAGATCGTGGAAGGTTTATCAGAAGCGTGGCCGCCGATCTACGGTCACGATCGAGTCATTGTATTTTTTATTCATGTTATGGTTATTTATGTATTTGTTTTATTTTATTTCCCGTTGTACCCTTCTAGTAAAGGGATGTCGTATGTAAGCCCTGAGGGCATGTTCGTCTTTTATTTTGAGTCTCTTGTACCAGGCTATTTATAGACCATTGCTTATTATTTTTAAACAAAGAATTGAATGAATGATTATTTGAGAATTTTGTCTTCTTGCTTGGAGTTCTTGAGAGAACTTGAGAAATCGGAGAGAAATCTCTAGAAGACGGAGATTTGCGCAACACCCACCAAACTAGATAAGTCGGGTTCGTGGTTCTATCCTCTACTCCTTCCCCTTTCCTTCCAATTCACTTAGCCGCCGGCTTTCATCTCACCCGAGCCATCTCCATCCCTCCCGTCCACCCCTTTTAGCTCCACGGCCAAACCCCACCCAATCAACCCCACTTCCCCTCGTCCAAAACCAGCGGCCACATTCTCCTAGCCACCGGCCTCCCTTAGGTTTACTCTCCCTCCCTTTCTTCCTTATTTCTTATTATGAATTGAACATATTTGGAATTAACTTTGAATTCAAATCCAAGTGATTTGAAATTCAAAATATTTCCTAATATGCCAAATCTATTTTAGGAAAGTCTTTAAAACTCAATCAAATCAATTTATAATTGATTGGGATTTTAAAATTGCCTTTCCTAATTTATGAATCCCAAACTAGCAAGCAATAAATAATTGCTCAAATCCCTTTCCCCCATTGTTGCCGCCGGGCCCTCCCCCTTTAGGCTTGAGTTAGGAAACCTTTCCTAAACACCAATTTCTTTTTCTTTAGAAAGACTTCCCAATCTCATGA